GCGTTCCCCTGTTTTGCAAAGTGCGACATCAGACCCTGCAAGAAACAAAAGTAACGAGGGTGTGGTATCAGGAGGAAGGGATTATTCGAATTCAGACGTACACAAGCAACAACGTGGATGTTGCAAGCATACTACCTGAATCCAGAATCTGACTCTAATCATCTCACTGCTTGGAACTTGAGGCTGATGCTCATGAGTCTAGGGCCTAAACCTTATGTCAAACGCGAAAGTGTAGGAGTCACATGTTTACTATGTTCGAAATCGTGCAAGCGGCATGGGATCACGATTGAAACAGAAGCACATTGATCATTCCACGCCCTTAGCAATCATGATACAGTCATTTTCCTAGTCACTGTGATTCCCCACAAACTTCCCAAACACAGGTGCAATCCATAGTTGTGCTTCCTGCGTCGGCCCTGCATGCACCCTGGACTGTGGAGATTCTCCAGGCTTTATTCCCGCCCGCACTTTACACTGCAAAAGATGGTGAACCCATGTAATGGAATTTAGCTCTTGCACATAAACTTCGGGCGGTGACTGGGGGCTTTTCCCCTAGTTCCCACGGTTTACGAAGGATTTTGCAACAAAGCCATTTGGATTTCTTAGTGCCCTTACCGTAACTAGGACAGTCTGGCAGCATGATCCAATCTATAATGGGGTCGGTTTGGGGCTGTCGGAGGCCCAAGCACGTGTGCAGAAAGGCTGTGCAGCTTTCTATGCAGATCGGGGTCCAAATAATTATGAGATTTTAACGGATCGATGTGTCATAGGGATATTCAAGGTGAGCTCAAGGCAAGGCTGCAGTTTCCTATCTTTCTTCGCCAGGCTGTATCAAAACCACCCTTGACACCAATGTGTACCACAATGAGGGCAAGGAACGCCAACGCAAACAAAACATGACACGCGCACACACAAACATCACAACAGAAACAACTCAGAAAGACTATCCGATGAAGACTCGTGATGACATTCTGGAATTCCGGCGACAAGACCCTCAAAACTGAAAGACGGGCTCGGCCCTCACACCTCAAGACAGCCACAGTAAATTACTGTGAATAGGTATGCCTGTTAAAATACATGGTACTTTCCCAAAATAGGGGAACCCTAATGTAGCCCCAACATACTATATATTCCTCATTACTGGGACTCCCAAAAATTAAGGGTACCCCTAATTTTGGAAATCCCCAAATCCGCATTGTGACCACTTAGGTTATAGTCCCGCTTAAGTCGATAGAATATGGGGTATATGGGGATCTTATTGTGATATACCCGAAGCCATATTCTATCTACCTCGGGGGGACTATAAGTATGTGCAGCCGACTCACTGCATCTTGAAGCTGCAGCGCACGCCCCACAAGCTCGTGCTTTTGCGAATCCTTGGGTATTTATTTGCGTCATAGAAGGGTACAAAATTAGGGTTATAACAAGGTATATATTCGGGTTAGAGGTTATAAGGTATATATTAGGTCTATAATCGTGCACATATTACAGGGCTTTATACGGATGATGGAAAAAAAGGGAAGCTACTATGAAGGGTTTAGGGCAAAGTTTAGGGTTGGTAAGCCTCACACGTGGCCGCTTTGGGTTATGGATGCTCTTTCTCACAGCTCAATGAGGGAGGTCTGATGAAGATAGCCACTAAATGCTAATAGATTTAGGGTGATTCTTGTAAAGCCCGTCGTCTAGAATGGGAGCCTTAGGGTCTTGGGCTTGGCGTCCCATGCTTAGGACTTCGCGCGCTTCGGGACTTGTCACCGTTGAAATCCAATTTTGGGCTTTGTAATGTATAACGTGACTTGACGACGACGACCTGCCACCAGTACTGCTACCGCTGCTACTACTGTCAAGAACACTCGCACGACTGAAAACATGACAGTGGGGATTCAAAACAATCAAGGTTGGTAGTCGCGGCAGCAGCAGCAGCAGTTGTAGTAGTATTGGTAATACTAGGCATTAACCATAACACCACCAGTGGCAACTATCATCGCGAGCCAGTTGTGTTACGTCTCGCGCTGTTAGCTACTGCCGGTGTACCGCCAGTACCACTGGAACAAACACAACAACGATCGAGGGCAATGAGAGATCTTAAGGATGCAATGCGCTCACACTTCAAGATTGTGCAAGAACACCCCAAGCCACCGCCCCGTGCGTCCGCACCAGTACAACACTTGCAACTTAGCATGCACGCACCGTCTTTGCTACCAAATTTGCTGGTGTTTCTACCGCAGCCGGTCGTACTTTACGACTGCGATCACCTCAACGCTTCCACTCCGTCCCACAACACTCTGCCGCTGCACTGCTGCCGGCATTCTTGGCGTGAAGATCGTTTTTCACTTCCCTACAAAGGACAGAGGTTTGTGTCTTCGTATGGGCATGAACGATACCCCAAGAAGGAGCAGCAATGTCTTGCCTCAGGTTGCTGCGCAGCTGTGGTTAGTTGGCAAGATGCTTTAGAACTAGGAAAAGCTCTTGACTAGGGATCTGTACCACCCAAACACAAGGTGGTATCTTGACCAGACTGACAAACACATTTCAAAGTGCTTGCGCGAACCCTTGCACCTTCGCGCAAAGCTTGCAAGGATACGATTTTGGTGCAACCGTTTGTTCTTGGGAATCGCACAAAGCTTGCAAATGTACGATTCTGGTGCAACAGTTTGTTCTGGGGTACGGCTCCATACTAAAATTGTGGAGCTGCTTGTCATTCCCCTGGTATGGGCCAGCAGCAGTCTTAGAAGCGCAAATGTCCCATGGGAAAAGAAGTACGCTGACCTGGCTTGCAACCAATAAGTGTCCATCCAGAAAGCTTACCCTAAGGATCCAAGTACCTAATAATCATATATTTACCCAAAAAGTGTACTATAATTACTATTACCCCAATCGCAAGTACCTAATTATTGGGTACATGGACCATCTGGGTTACCTCTATGAAGTCATGAACCTTAATGAACGGAACGGAGGAGCAGCGGCCCCTGCCTCTGGAAACTCCTGCGTTGCATTGCTCACCGTGCTCGATGTGTGGCAACGTTTTGAGAAGCTGGAAATGTAGCCCGCCATGACCATAATTAGTGATATTACTCTGCCAGTATTCCGGTATGCTAGCACTCTTGATGAGGTTCAGCGGCTCTGCAAGCACATCCGCCCTAATGACAAGCTAGAAGTTCTCCAGGCTTGGTTACTCAAAAGCCCGCCATTGGAATTCTCAGAGCCTCTTCGTCCTATGCCTTGCCGAGAGCCTTAGCATTGCCAACAAGCTAAATGTTAAAAAAAGGACGGTCAGTTATTAGATTATAGTCCCCCTTAAGTAGATAGAATATGGGGTATATGGGGATCTTATATTAAAATGTACCCAAAGCCATATTCTATCTATCTACTTAAGGGGGACTATACCAGGTCTTGATTTCAGATCTATAGTTGTTAATTCAGACCTGTCCAGAGTGGTAGTTTCGAGCAACTACAACCCAAGTTTCAAGCTGAAGTAACCTTCCTTATGCCTTGGTCGATTCCCAATATAGGAAAACACCAACAAAAGCCCAAATATTTTATAGTCCTTATTATTGGCACCCCCAAAATGGTACCCCTAATTTTGGAAAACCTTTATCCATGTAAACCCCTGTATACCCACAGTTCTCATATATATATATATAATTTTCCATTTTCTTTTCCATTTGATTCTCCATAATTCCTTGACTCGGCAAAGCATCCGTCAGCTTCGAGAGGAAGTCGTCCGAGCTCTCTTCCGTCTGTTCGGAACAGTGGCTTTTCGCATCGGCCATGGCCCAGTGACACTGGCAGGCCAGCAAAGTTTACAACAGTTTAAGGAAAGCCCCGGTGGGGCCCTAGGTTGCTTGTGCAACATCAAGCCCCGCAAGTCTACTCATTCCACATCATGGTCCTGAGTTGCTCGCCATGCCAGGCAGAAACAGTAGCTACTTGGACCTTTCTGGATGCATTTAAGTCCGGCTGTAAGTAGGATCACTATGCTTATGCCCCAATCTGGCGTCCTCAACACCATTCACCCTGCACATAACTACACATCAAGTTGTGAGGTGGCCTAGACTCCCGTCGTGGCTATACGTATTTGCATCTCTGCTGCTGCACGTCACCAACTTTTGCGCCAGTAAACCTTGAACCGGATTTCTGGTCTTGGCGTCGTTCGCTGAAATTACGCAGGAAAGATCACTTCCTGTACCGGCGACTTGGGAAACCGCATGCTATATATGTATGTGTATATATATATACATATCTACTACTCGACTACCGAACGAGTACCTGCGCGGGTGAGGAACATCCTAGGCACTGCACTGGCCTGCATCCTACCCGAAGTGCTACTGCACCTGCAATTAACAATGAAGGCACACAGCAAACCAGAAACTGCATGCCTTTTTGCCGCATAAGTCTACATAAATGGCTCCAGTGCATGGCAGCAGTGTCTAGCTTGGGTGCTGACCTAATCATATTGCTCAGTCCGAGGAAGATTGCGGAGGCCAGGAACTTTTCTCAGGGATCTTGAATGATTGCTACATTTTGCTACATTTAGACTTGGCATTCAAGGCTGAGTGTGCCTCTGCTACTGGATTCGAGTGTGGACAAGACTGCCGTTGCGACCTCTGTTCCAGTCGCATCCAGTCGCCACGCATATGTAGGTGCCCGCGCTATACTGTTTTGGGCACATCATCGCCGCATGCAGGCCAACAAAGCACTCGAGAAAACTTCTGAACAACCTGCGCAGGAACGGAACAGAAATGACGTGGCAGTCGCCTATGTAGAATGCCCTATACCCACTGTCTTATAACCCCACCAGGTAACCCCCGTTAAGGAGTTTAGACTATAGCTCATATAAGCCCTGATAAAGCCTAAACCCTAATCCTAAACCCCAAGCCCTTAACCCTAAACCCTAAACTCTAAACCCTTAACCCTAAACCCTTAACCCTAAACCCTTGACCCTTAACCTTTACCCCTTAACTCTAAACGCATGTGATGCAACAACCTGCCAGGCCGGCATCCTCTCCCGTTCGGTGGGAGCCTCAGCATGCTGACCGGCCACAAAACACCTCTGAACGTGTTGCCTAACTATTCTCGTAAATTATGAACCAATAGGGATTATAAAAGGAACCTAAAAGCTAAGTAAAATAAATGGCCTTTTGTGGGGGGGTTTTGAGCTATTATCTTACCTACTTTTCTTAGCCCACATTACCCCAGGAAGAAAAAAGGATCCTTTTTACCTAAATATGAGGAATCCCATACCCCAAAAAGTAGAAAGGATCCCCAACATTGATCCAGTTTTGGGGTCTAGGTATTCAACATGGGCCCCATAGGCCCTATTTGTCCCTTGAGGGCCCTACTTTCGTGGGGACCTCTTCCCTCACACCTGCCACCAACGTCCTAGCACGCCCTACTCTATGAAAAGCCTCTATAAATCTAATCCTTTCCCATAATATTGAAGGGTTCCCCCCACCTAACGTAAATACTCCGAACCGTATTCACATTAAGGGGTGGTATCTATCGTACGACCCGAACATTAGAAGGGGTATACGGAAATCTGATTAAAAAAAACATATAAAAAACCGATTAAGGCTAATGAGGGACTACTTCGAATTAGGGCCTGCTTAATGATTGACTGTTTCAAATTCAACTCTTAATGGGGACACTTTCAAATCAAGGCCTGTTTCGGGATTCTGCCAACTCAGGGCCCTATTAGGATTGATTCAAATTAGGGCCTCGGTAGGGACTGTTTCAAATCAGGGCCTTACAAGGGACTATTTCGAATTGCGGCCTTATAAGGGACTATTTCAAATTAGGGCCTTTTGAAGGACTATTTCAAATTAGGGTCTTTTTAGGGATTATTCCAAAATAAGAGCTTATTAGGACTGATTCAAATTGCGGCCTTAGTAGGGACTATTTCACACGAGGGCCGTGGAACCTGTTTCTGCAAGTATTCTATATACATTACTTTATAAAATCTATTCAAAACAATCAAAATCTAGGAAATCACGGAGATCCCTAATCCGTAAGCCTTGAGACTCGTGCTAAACCCCCCCCTTTAATTCAGAGGATCCGAGCCGCAATTTACTTTAGTCTTGGCCCTTTTAGTCTTGGGGGCAGATTTCAGAATTTGGAATTTTGGCGAACCCATATGTGTTATTAGGGGTGTTTAATATTAGGGGAAATGATTAATGAGCACTGACATGCAACACAGTTTCCACTTCAGGTAAAGCCCAAACCAAGTTCTCCCTCAAACCCCTGAGCCTGAAATAGCCTGAAACCTTGAGACCCCATGACCTACACACTGCAAACATCCATAAGAAAGGGAAAAGGTGCCCGAACTGCAACAGAACAAACCCTGAAAAACACAAACCTCTTCAACCTCAAAGAAAGTTTCCCAAAATAAGGGGACCCCAATATAGACCCCCAAATACTATCGTCTTTATTATAGGGACCCCCAAAAAGGTACCCCTAATTTTGGGAAACTTCCATATACGACTTTGAGCATCCCAAACTTGAAGAAGGGTAGCTACTTTCCCAGGACTTAATGACCACAACGCTTGAACTCAATGGTGAGAGCTCAGAAACGTTGACGATCGTGGCTTTTTACAACAGCGTTGGCTGATCTATCAGGCTACCGAAGCTACGGTGTTGCTCATCTACGGCTGGGAGTTTATCAGCATGACCCTTGGTTTCCGAGGTGCTCTGCCGTCTTTTTCAGACACTCCCAGGTGTAGGTGCGGGGAAGCATGAGGGGTTCGGAGGTGCAAGGTGGGATGGTTGAGGTATGCTGCTTGTGGGGTGCCCCTAACTTAAACCTGATTACCTGATCGGCGAAAGGGGGGAAGTCAAGCACGCAAGAAAACCAACATTCACTGGTTTCACTAACCCTGGGGCTCCATGCTATAGATAATAAATACCTACATTGGGTCCCAATGTCTACTAATAATACCTACATTGGGCCATTTGGAGCTCTAGGGTAATGCTGAGCATTCGGCCGTGGCAGCGATGAAGTTACACGCACCTCTGCGGGCCACATGGTAGTTTCCCAAAATGGGGGAACCCCCATATATAGACCCCAGAATACTATAGTCCTTTATGGGGACTCCCAAGAAGGTACCTATAATTTTGGGAAACTCCCACATTGAGGGTCCTAAAGGATTCTTTTCGGGTGCATGATTGCGCAACTTCAAATGCGGAATTTGGCGGGGCTTACAGCGTCTTGTCGCTTTTGTTCTTAAGGACTTAGGTTTGCTGGGTTTATGGGGCCTGGGGTCCCACTGTAACGAAAAAAATCCTATAACCTTTAGAGTTCCTGGACATGTGGCATTCCACGTACGACATTGACAGACACCCCTATATAACCCCCCTATAGAATCCTATGTTACCCCTACATAGTCCCTAGACTTGAATCCCAAGGACTGCTTTCATCCCCCAACCAGTCGCTTTTGAGACGGACTGCTGAATCCCACGCGCGGGATTTCTATAAAAAGGACCCCAATATTCGGAGGGGGGCAGCGGGAACCCCTATACCTAGTGCAGCCGAACATGGTCAGCCTTTCAACCAGAGCTTTGGCATCTTGTACAGGGAGCTCATTTTTCAGTGGTGCGGAGGACACCGCAAGCTGAGTTTAGGCCTACTCCTCAACCTCTGCGCATATTTGAAGATTCTGGAAATTCTACCCTGAGTGTGCGGAAGGCTTACTTGAGAAGGTTGCAGGCGAAAACTATCTTTAACCAAGGCCCATCAACCCCCTAGACATTCCAACATAAAACCCACCCTGTCCTAATGCGTCCCCGTATGGGGGTTTCTCAACACCGGCAGGCTTAGGGACCCAGTGAAATCTCTGGGGGTTTCTATTTAGGGAATTATGAAATCCTTGTAGGTTTACAGTTCCCCTTAAGTAGATAGAATATGGCCTTGCGTATATTATAATAACATCCCCACATACCCCATATTCTATCTACCGAAGGGGGACTATAAGTCTCCCATGGATTTGGAAACCACTCCGAGGGGCCTCCGAGCAAGCCACCCCACGCCAGGAAAAAGGCTGCAATAGCTACCTCTCAAACCAGATGGCTTCTCCGCCACCGAACAGTTTCCAGGCTTCTTTCTTACTGTATGTCTTACTGTATGAGAGCTCACGAAAAAAAAGGGGGCATTTGATCTTGGAATTGGAAACTCCTAGCTGAGGACTGCAGGCGGGATGGCTTCCATAGCGTACAAGGGCCGACGCGCTGCGCCTAAGCTTTACATAGGTTTTGGGGCCCTTCCGCGACTATCTTGCTCCAGATGCAACACGATTCAGAGGTGCTCAGACAAAACTCGAAAATGCTTTGGGTGCTGGAACTGGGGCTAAGAGGCTGGGCCGCTAACTTCCGGCAATGGGCCAGGTAGGGTCGGCTTTGAACGGATCTACCACACTGAGGGCCGGTATGGAACAAGTCCGAGTTGGGCCTGCCAGTGCAGGGAATTAGTCTTTCAGACCTGCCCATCCTTTCGCACCCTTCGCCTGACATGACATGACCTTGGGCATCCCTTCTTCGGCTCCACAAGCAGCCTCCCTACAAGCCAAGGACTTCTTATTGTAAGTGTCTAGGGATTGGGGCTTCAAGCTGCATATCTCGGAGCCAACACTTGCACCCTAACCTCTCACAAGATAGGATCCCCGGCGGCAAGAGGCCCCCACAAGAAGATGCATATTAAAGGCTCGGACAGCCTGGCCAGTAATCAAAATGAGTTTGTATGCTGCCTTCTACGCAAGTCCACTCAAGTCCACTCACTTGATCCCACTTATCCAGGTGCAACCCACTGCTGGCGCCACAAACATGCTTTTGTTTCATCCAATTCTCTTGACATGACTTTTCTGGATTTCCCTCATGCTCAGTAACCGGCAATTTGGCCAAGGTCGAAGTAGGACTGTCGGCACCTGTGGCGTATCGCGTATACAAAACAAAGGGTAGCGGAGGCCGGGGGGCGGCAGGGCACCAAAGCTGCTCATTTCAGGGATACCTTTTCCTCAGCCATGGCAGCAAAAGCTCAAACAAGCATCCTGGCTCACCCTGCGAGGCACCCTGGAGCATGCTTTAATCCTATCATCTTGATGCCTTATTTCACATACTGGGGCCCATGAAGAGGCCTAAGATAAAACACCAGATTGAAACCTACAGCCAGTATCTGGGTTGTGCTAAATTAAACAAGAAGTAGACAAGCACGAACAGCCAACGCCATTCCTGGGTTGCTGTTAAGGAACTTAAATTAAGTTACTGTATTAGGGAAACCCTATTATTTGCTATATATACCCACTCTGGCAACTTAATTGATGTTCCTTAACAGCAACCCAGATTCTTGAATGCTTCAACTCCTGGATGAATTCAAACCTTGCTGGTCTTTTCATGGTTGGCGCAGCCCAGGACGTAAGTCTGACAATATGTCTTAGGGCGCCAGTCAAGATCCTATTATAGGGCGTATTAAGGGGGATACTAGGAGCTTAGAGTATAGTTCATATAAGGATTATGTAGTTATATAGGGGTTATACAGGAACTCTGCCATGTCAAAACTCCAAGGGAAACATTTGAGCAACCTCATGCGCTTTCCCAAGTCTGCGTCTGCGTGGAGTCTGTCTCCTTAAACCCTGAACCCTAAGCCCTGAACCCTAGTACGGGACGTCCAGTTGAGGGCTAGGCTATGCTTACAGATCTGGGCTCTGTTACATAGGGATAATGGAATAAACATGGAAACTACTATAGTATGGTATATATTGGGGTTACAGGTTTAGGATCCAGGGTTCAGGCATGGGTTCAAGCAAGCGGTGGCAATCCTGATTTAGGCTAAGCAACTCAAACGTAACAAGCAACTGGGTCCCAAATTTAGGGTAGCGTTTTGGGGGTCCCCTTGACATTGATAAGGACCAGAAGATTTTGCGGTCCGTATTCGGGTGCCTCTTCTTGGGGATATATGGACCGCCTGTTACTTGAAACGGGCCTGCTGAAGCAAAAACAGGCTGGGTCAGTGGTTCAAAACTCTGGCCCTAAACCCTA